TTTTTTTTTTTTTTCCAAATTGCCTATCATCCAATTTTGCTGATATCGATATATAAAACGGCGGCGTGCCGGGATCCCAACTGCGGTACACACCTCGACCAGTGACCGATTACCTCATCGACCTGATTTTACTGGAGATTACGGTAGTTTATTCCAATTTATTTGTAAAATAAATCTTACCCAATTCATTCACAAATCTTCATTTTTTTTCTATTTCTCGCTTTCATTTACTTATTTTAATAATATTATGCATCCCTTCCCCCTTCCTCTCCTCCCCCCAAACCCAACCCACCCAACCCCCATCCCCTAAAAAGCAGAGGCCATGATTCATTCACTAATCAACCAAACACAAACGCATGCCAATTAATTTTGTTCGATTATTCATCCACTGAAATCAATCATCCACTTGTCCATTACCTTTACCTTTCCTCCTGAAAGTACTGCTAATACCCCACGTCCCAATCAATCAGCTCCCTTTTCTGGTGACAACAACGCAAAGACAAACATTCGTAGGTCTCGAGCTCACGACTATATGATCGACATGAATGAATGAGGGCACATTACAGAGCCAGGTGCAGTCAGTTTCCTGACTCGACGAGCCACTAACTTATCAATCGACAATTCCAACAAGCACCTTGGTTTTTCATCTAATTCACTGCTATTTCACTAATCACCAATCTCACTAATTAAGCAATAAAATAATGGCGTAATAAATAATATATCTTACTGCTCATGCTATAACTAAGACATCACGAATCGGTGGTAACCTGACAGACATGGCGGCGTCCTAACCACCCACGCAACCAGGTGGTAAGGCGACAACGAAAAAAAAAGGCGGGAAGGCCAAGAAGAAAGCAAAAACGAACGGCGACTGGTGCGATACGGAAAATTTTCCCTCCGCCTTCCTGCGAACGATTTCGCGTGGCCATACGGAAACACAGCGCGCATGCGTTTGATGGCGGGAAAAATGGGTTTAATGGCGGGAAAAATGGGTTTAATGGCGGGAAAGACGGGTTTAATGGGGCGGGAAAGACGGGTTTGATGGCGGGAAAGACGCGTATCGATCGAGTGTGACACGCCGAAAAAACAGCCGAAACTAGCGAGTACAGCGAAATTTATGGTGACGCTGACGCCGACGTAACGGCCATGGCACTGACGACGGTGATAACGTAATGATTGATGGTGATAACGATAGTGATAGCAATGGGGACGGCTGGCACTGTTAATGGTGATGATGACACAATGCACGACGCTGATGGTGATGGTGGCGATGGTGATAGCAAGGACGACTTCAGTGGTGATGGTGAGGCAGGCGCTGATTGCCATACGCGGGAAACCATAGTGCCTACGGGTTCCATGGCGGGAAAAGTGTGAATAGATAGATTGCGTACTGGCTGCCGCCGAGGGTGGCAGGAAATTGAACCTATGGATGATGATGTTGACGTCAACGAAACGGTGAAGACAGCGATGGCGCAGGCGATGGTGATGGCGAAGGCGATGATGATGGCGATGGTAATGGCGATGGAGAGGGAGATGGTGATGGCGATGGTGATGATGGTGATAGCGATGGTGATGGCCACAGTGGAGATGATGACCGTACTGATGCGGGGAGCGCCAGTGCTGATGGCGACGGAATTCAAGACAATTTCGGGCGTCCGTACGGGAACATAGTGCCCATGGATTTATGGCGGGAAAGACGGGTATTGATTGATTGATTGATTGAGAACTGCCAGATAGCTGCCGAGGCTGGCAAGCGGTCGATGGTGATATTGAGGGCGGATGAAACGACAATGGCACTGACAATGGTCATGACATCCTGATGATGATGGCAGTGTCGATGCTGATGCTGATGCGGACGCCGCGAAAAAAAAACGCGAGCTCGTCGTGGACAGAGCGATAACTCCGCTGTCCCGCCAAAACACCATTACGCGGGAAACGGATGGAGAGACGAGTCGACTACAGAAATGCAGGTGGTGTTATTAGAAGGGAGAGAAAAGGGAAGCCTGGTGTGCACGACGGAAAGGAAAAGCACTTGCGCGGCGACGTAGAGGCAACGGAACATGAGAAATGCGGACACAGAGCCAATGCGGGTGAGAAAAGTCGGTGCTACTCAAAGTACATCAACAGTAATTCCGGAGGGGCGAGCGTTAATAAATAGCCAGAAATGATGAGACAGACGAGAGGATCACATAACACATTTCTTGCCCCCACATACTCCACCCAGAGTATCAAGGAGTCCGGACAAGTGTTTTTAATATCTCTCTCTCTCTCTCTCCCTGTGTGTGTGTGTGTGTGTGTGTCTGTGTGTGTGTGTCTGTGTGTGTTAGAACCAATAGCTCATGTCGTGCCAGACTATTAGCTTCTCTCTCTCTCTCTCTCTCTCTCTCTCTCTCTCTCTCTCTCTCTCTCTCTCTCTCTCTCTCTCTCTCTNTGTGTGTGTGTGTGTGTGTGTGTGTGTGTGTGTGTGTGTGTGTGTATCTCTGTTAGAACCAATAGCTCAGGTCGTGCGTCTGCCACAACTTCACTTTCGCCTGATCTTGTGCCACAGTCCGGACGAGTCTTTTAGCCTCTCTCTCTCTCTCTCTCTCACACACACACACACACACACACACACACACACACATACACACACACACACACACACACCCCTTTCGTCACAGGAATAGAGTCAAAACAGCAGTCGCCCGTTTGCCACAATTTCCCTCATCGCCTGATCTTCTGACACAGCACCTCGCCGTGGCAACAGGGGACAGTGTCGCCAAACCTTACCTCATCGTAGCCGTCCCCCTGTTAGCCACGGCTTCCTCCTTCCCTATATGGATGACGCTAGAAGGTACAAAGGTGCAATTCCCTCTGGTGGGTACGTCTTAAACGTAAACACAATATCAGGAGACAGAGATGACCCACGGGCGAAAGAAGACAGGCGATTGTCATTCCAAAAGAGAGAGAGAGAACTCATACCAGTGAGTTGTGGAAGACCGAAGGCGACGATCACATAGCAGAGTTTTTTTATCGGTAAAAGAAAAGGAAAAAAAAAAAAAGAGGGAAAGAGAGGGCGACGGCGGGAAAAGCAGAAGCGGTTGATCACAGAAACCGGTCATTATCGCTGTATGTAGACTGGAAGTTGCCCTACATACAGCTATATTGACCAGATAATGGGAAAGAACGAGGTGATAAAGATGGCGGGCTAGAGCGAGGACTATTATTACTTCCTCACCCGAATAGAACGACCGGTCATTATCGCTGTATGTAGACTGGAAGTTGCCCTACATACAGCTATATTGACCGGGCGTTCTGTTTGGGTGAAGACGTGTATAGTGATAGAGAGGGCGAGGCAGAGCTTATAGCCATCACGTGATTAACGAGGGAGACGATGATAGCTATAGTGGCAAAACTAATGAGAGCGATGACACCACGGATGACTATCTTATAGTGCTATTCGTATCTTCTTTTTCTCCTGAACACAACGCACCCCAATCATCAATGTATCAAACCAGAAAGATAGCTTGTATACTGTCCTACCTTCTTCCCCCGAATACAACGTACGGTCATTATAGCTGTACCTGGACTGAAAGATGCCTCAAATACAGCTATAATGACCGTACGTTGTATTCGGGGGAAGACTGTAGTCGGGCTGCGTTGTGTTCGAGGGAAGAGGACAGTATCAATGATGGAAGCGGCAGATTATTACTAAACAAAATACCAATGGATAAGATGATCCAATGGCGCAAAAAAAAAAAAAAAAAAAAAAAACAGCGTCCAAACCAAATAGCATCCAACCCGGCAGCTCGTTCTATTCATTTGCCGATTTCCCGCCAAATTTCATTTGCCGATTTCCCGCCAAATTTCATTTGCCCATTTCCCGCCAATCAACATGACCTGTCGGGCACCGCATCCTACAAGACCGGAAAAAGAAGAAAGTGATGGCCACGTGTCATCGTCTAACTACCGTCTTCCCCCGAACACAACGCACCCTTATTTTGGCTGTATCTGGCCGAAAATATAGCTTGCATACATTCATTTAGGCTGCGTTATGTTCGGGGGAAGACGGTAGTGGAGGCGGCAACGGGTGGAGGCAGTGAAGGGTAATAATGGTGAACGGAGAGAACGGAGAGAGAGAGAGGGCGGGCGGACCGCGAACTGAATGAAGAGTGGAGAGAGGGAGTAAAGAAAGGCCCATCAAAAAAAAACGAAGGAGACAGAGAAGGAACAGGAGGGAAGTTGGAAAGAAGAACAGTCGAAGAGAGAGAGAGAGACACGAGATAGACGAAAAGAGAAGCGAAAAGAAACGGGGAGCGTAGAAGAGGAGACAAGAGAAAAGACACACGGAGAGGGAGAGAGGAGGGGGAAGGGAAAGAGAGGAAGAGAGGAGGAAGGGAAAGAGAGAGAGAGGGGGGGAAGGGAAAGAGAGAGAGAGAAGACACGGGGGGTCAGGAGGAGAGAAAGGGGGAGA